AAAAATGAACATCACAAATGATGATAAAACATCCTACCTTATCACATATCTTATTAGACAGTGTAGAGGAGCTGATAGCACTTGAATGGTCAGTAGCTGTCTGGAGAACAACATGGTTAGAACCAATCCTGCCATGTCATCTCCAGTACCTTGGCATTTATCCTTTGTGCCAGAGGTGGGGGGGTTGCAGAAAGATCGTAGGTCCAGGCATCAGGGTCGGTGGAAGCCTGAACAATACAAGGTTTGTCCTGAGATGTTTGTTATGTGCCAGTAGGTTTTGTTTGGAGGGTCGGTGGAAGGGTGTAGACCGCTGTTGGTTTTCAACTGCTGTTGTTGTTGTTGTTTCTTATCCCTTTGTGTAAAGATTACACGAATTCCATGAGTTCATGCTCCTCGAGCTGTTTCATGATGAGCAGCGGCCTCTCCCAAAGGTCCTGTTTAGTGCATCTAATGCAAGCCAAAACTGCTACGAACCATGATTGAATATTGCATTGAGAACTTTTTTCCTAATTTATAAAAAAAAAAATGCTCAAATGGTCCCCGATTTTTGCAAAAGTCCAACCCTACCTACAAGTGCAAGTAATCAAATCTGGCATATTTTTTTAAGTGCAAAAGTTTAACTGCTTTTCACATGTGTAGACATGTGGTGCACTTACAGTAAAAGCAGTTGCCAACTTCTACCCACCATGATTATCATGGCCTGTACCACGTGTACTAGGTATAATAATATAATAGGTTTTGTTTACTTACATTGATGGGTTTGGAGGAGAGCCACTGGGGAGATTTCAGCAACGAGGGGCTGGTTGTAGCTCCCACCTCTGGGGTAGAGGAGGGCCCTTCTTCTGAGAAGAAGCTATCAAAATCCTCTGTGGCAATCATGTCAAAGTTGATGGAGGTTGCCAGGGTGACCTGCTCGGTGTTCTGGAGGAGGTCTATAGCAGCTGGTTTCTGGTTGGAACTACCTGGTTCCTGGTTAGAAAGGACTGGTTTGTGGTTGGAGCTAATTGGTTCCTTGTTGGAACTGATTATTGGTTCCTTGTTGGAATAGACTGGTTTCTGGTTGGAATAGACTGGTTCCTTGTTATAAAGGACTGGTTTCTGGTTTGAGCTGGCTGGTTTCAAGGGAGATTCTACTTGAGTATCCTCAATAATTCCATTCATTTGCGTATCTTCTTCCTCAGAGTCAGATGGGGATTCCAGGATTCTGCGGAATTTCCGTGGCTTCTTCACAGGACTCGAGGAGACCTCCTCTTCTTCAGAGACCTCCTCCACGCAGAAACTGTCGTTGAGATACTCATCCTGTTCCACGGCCTGTGAAAACACATCCTCCTGTACCTTAGGCTGGTACTGGAGCTTGAACTTGGCTGGGTGGGTGTCCATGTTCTTCACGGACTGCAGGTACATGGCTGTCGTGTTGTGGGTGACCTGGGACTGCTCCGTCTCATCGTCCACAAAGCTGGAGTCGTACTCATTGAGGCTGGAATTCTCTGATTCATCTGAGGAGACAGCACAGTCCTGCTGGGAGATATCTGCCTCCTTCTCAAGGAAGTCTTCAGGCTCTGTGAGTTTAACTCTCTTGGTGTTCTGAAACACAAAGAAATGTCATCTTAGATTGAACTTACTACTAGGTAGAGGGTATATGAGTGCAGGGAGGCAGAAAGAACCAAAATACATTATTTTTCAAATGAAAAATTCTGTTGTTGTTTCTTATCCCCTTGCGTAAAGATTACACGAATTCCATGAGTTCATGATCTCATGGAATGGGGTATAGGGGTGCAGCTTTCGTTGATCATGGCACCATGATCCAGGCACACTTTGGTGAAAGTCTGACTTTGCTTGTAGTTTGAGGCTGTTCCTAACATGGAATCCTTTGCTGCCGACTCTAACATGAGTACAGACATAGCTCCTTTGTATTCCTGGCGTGGGACCCTTGCTTTGGGTAGCTTTCTGATGAAAAATTCTAAAAGAATGTACCAACTCCATGATCATCTGGTCAAAGAGCTGCTGCCAATGGTTGGCTATCCAAGGAACATGACATGGAGGTGACAATCAGACTTTCCCCACCTGGACCAACTGAACCAAGGAAGTGTCTTCCCACCAAACTATAGCCATAAATCAATCACCTAGGAAGAGCCGATTGAGGAAGTCACCTCAGTCTTAGGATAAATTTACATGAAATATATACAGTAGAACCTCCATGAGAGGACACTTGTGCTAGAAGACACCTCTCTACAAAAGACAAGTTTTCAATTGCAAAATTACCATGTTTACTATTTAGAAACTCTCGGGTAAGAGAACACCTCTCCTTAAAGGGCACTTTGGCTCTGCAATTAGATGTCCTTTACAGGGAGGTTCTACTATAGATAGAAAAAAAATGCCTCAATGGCCCCCGAATCTTGCAAAAGTCCAACCCCACCAGCGAGTGCAAGTAACCAAACGGGGCTCTGGCACATTTGTAAGCGCAAAGTCGAACTGCTTTTCATATGTGTAGACATGTGTTCCACTTACCGGGCAGATGCCATGTCCACTAGGCTACCCTGTGTAGACATGTGGTGCACTTACAGTAAAAAGCAGTCGCTAACTACCCACCATGATTATCATGGCCTGTACCACGTGTACTATGGATAAGCAAAAAAAAACTATAGATGGAAATTTTGCCAGGAAGATATTGATCCAAAAAATAAATGTATATATTAAATCAATATAGACTTCAGACTAGACGTTATCAATTGACCGCCGTCACAAACTAGAGGTTTCTGGTTGGTGACAAAGTTGGATGGTTCTCAGTTTGCCTATTCTGGTGATGTGGCTTTGTCCATGAGTGTATCCCTGATCTGTGTTAAAGGTATCTTGGTCTAAATGGTATTTCTCCCACAGAGCACAATTTCATTAGAGAGAATTAGCTGTTGTAATAACATAAACTCCGCCTTTGCCGGTCCCAAGCCCGGATGAAAAAGAAAGAGGGGGAGCAGTAACAAGCTCACTAAAAAAAACCTGGGTTCAGCTGGCCCGGCTGATAGTACCTTGTAAGGGCCCCTAATCCAGGGATACAGGATGAGCAGCGTTTGTACTCCATGTTAGGAGCGGCTGCACATGGCGTTTGTTCCTCATGTCAGAGGCGGCCATTCATTTTAGAGCTAAGTCGGCCTGCCACTGAGTAGTGCTCCCAGTCTTAATGACAAAGGCAGATGCATTCTGCTTCACCCAATCATGATGGTTGTCAACAGATACCATCGAAACTCTCAAGCTTTACAAGCTTGACACCCTAATATGATTGAGTGGAGATAAGAAAGAAGAAGAAATAATGTACTCACAGAAGCTTTGATTTTCTTGGAAGGAGAGGGATAGCTTCCTGTAACCACAGAGTACCGATGTATTGTTTAAATATAAGCAGAGAAGAGGGTAGCACACATGTTGAAGATTCAAACTTACTCTTCTTTGGAGCTGGAGACTTAAAGGTGGTGGGCATGAAATCATCATCATCATCGTCCAGAGTAATGCAGGTGGGAGCGGTATTGTGGGCGGGGCTTTGTTGCTGGGAGGCGGAGCTCTGAGGAGAAGATGACAGAAAATGGATCCGCCTCTTTTTGGGCCTTCGGATGATACTCTCTGAAATAGAGACAATGTGATTATCTTTCAATTTATCAAAATAAATATTTAAAATATGGATGAACATTTGCTTAATTATGTATCATTTTGTACCAATGGATAGATTGATTAGAGTAAAACTTATCTTGTAATTTACCTGTCTTGGAAGTTTTCCTGTATAAGGAGTCCATTATAATGAGAATTATACTACATCATTGACGACTGTATTGGCCATCTATTGATGAGCTCTAATCATCCCTAGTAGACACTATCAAAAGTCTCAAGCTCTACAGGCTTGATACCCTAATATGATTGAGTGGAGATAAGAAAGAAAAAGATGCTCCAATGGCCCCCGATTCTTGCAAAAGTCCAACCCCACCAGCGAGTGCAAGTAACCAAACGTTACTTACGTTGTACTTACTTTGTAAGTGCAAAGTCGAACTGCTTTTCACATGTGTAGTAGACATGTGATGCACTTACAGTAAAAGCAGTTGCCTACTTCTACCCACCATGATAATCATGGCCTGTACCACGTGTACTAGGGATAAGCAAAAGAAAAAGATGGGAATCATTGGTCTTTTCATTGATTTATTTCTACTATTTTTTTATAGTTCTATAACTATATAGTTTTACTAATCTACTGCAGCACATGACAGGTACAGAGCAGGAGGGACAATCATCAATTCTGTTCTTCCCAAGGAAAGAGCAATCCTTGATTTCTAGACTTAAGTCTGGTCATCTATGGGCACAATGACTTTCCAGAATGGTTTCAAAATTTTCCAACCATGTTTTTTTTTTGCTTATCCCTAGTACACGTGGTACAGCCCATGATAATCATGGTGGGTAGAAGTAGGCAACTGCTTTTACTGTAAGTGCACCACATGTCTACACATGTGAAAAGCAGATTTCCCACTATGTACTAAGTGCAATTCTCAACAAATCACATCATTGACTGCATTGGCTCATCCATTGATAAGCTCTACTCATCCCCAGCAGTCTCAAGCTCTACAGACTTGATACCTTGATATGATTGTAGATAAGAAAGAAGAAGAAGATTTAGTTTTTTTAGACATTTTCACAACATATTCACCTCTAAATTGTTTAAGTCCCTCTAGAGGGTGTGAATGTGTTGAATGTCGTAATTTTGAAAACCATCATTGAAAGAAAGAATAGTTTTATATTGTAACCTATTTCATTTAACTTGAAGTAAATTTATGATTGAAACCAAATTAAAAGTTCCAAGACAGGTTTTACACTGTATATTTATAATTTCAAAAAAAATAATCAATTGGCTTTTGTTCTGCAACTAAAGTCTTTTCATTTACAGAGAGGCTGTACTGTACATGTTGTTTTTAATGTTCTTTAAGTCAAGTTTGACTTTTGGTGACTATATGCACAAAAATTCTACAAATAGAATTAAAGCCTACAGTATCCCCAAATGGTCACCCTCCCAAGTACTGACCTGGCCTGGCTATGCTTAACTTCAGTGATCGGTGAGAACCAGTGTTTTCAATTGGGTATGGCTGTAAGAATACTGTTCATATAATGAAAAAAAAATTTGCAGACATTTTATTAAACAATTAAAAAAGGTTTCCGGAGATGATTTTATTTTTATTTCAAAAACCATCTCAAGCTTTTGGGTATCTCTGTTCTTCAACAGGAGAACATATACAGTTAAACCTGTCTATAGCGCCACCCTCTTGGGACTCACCAAAATAGGGTGCTATAGAGATGGGTTGCTATAGACAGGTCACTTTTAATGTAAAATGTTTACATTTTAATGTTTAAAATCGGGCGCTATAGAGAGGAAGGCACTATTTAGAGGGGGCGCTATAGACAGGTTTAACTGTAGAATGAATAAAACGCCGCCTGATGCTCAATATTTCCCATTTCAGTACAAGAACGTTTTTAAAAAATAATAAAATAATTGTTACAAGAGAGAGTTGTGTCACCTTCAGGGGATGAGGAGATGGGCTTGGAGACAGCTGACTTTGGAGTGGGGGGATCTGTAAGCACAACAGAATCAATATCTCGCACTCACTGAGAAAATATCTTAGATTGTTGGGATTACCATGGAGACTGACCATAGTTTAGTTTCTCCATTGTTGGGGGTCGCCATGATCACCATAGTTAAAACACCTTATTGTTAGGATCTGCTATTGATACCATAATTAAACCTATCCAATGTTGGGGTCACCATGGTGATCATAGTTAAATCTCTTCATTATTAGAGGATCTGCCATTGTTATAATTGCTAAATCTTTCCATTGTTAGGATATATCATTGTTAAATCTTTCCATTGTTAGGATCTATCATTGTTACAATTGTTAAATCTTTCCATTGTTAGGATCTATCATTGTTACAATTGTTAAATCTTTCCATTGTTAGGATCTATATTTGTTATAATTGTTAAATCTTTCCGTTGTTAGGATCTATCATTGTTATAGCTTTCCATTGTTAGAGGATCTGCCATTGTTTCAATTGTTAAATCTTTCCATTGTTAGGATCTAACATTGTTATAGCTTTCCATTGTTAAAGGATGTATCAGTTATAATTGTTAAATCTTTCCATTGTTAGGATCTATCATTGTTATGATTGTTATAGCTTTCCATTGTTAGAGAATCTGCCATAGTCACCATAATTAAACCTCTCCATTGTTGGAAGCACCATCACTGATTAACCAGGCTCCCTTTCCAATATATTTTTTTGAATCGCAATAGGGAGAGTAGGAAGTCTGCTTTATTTGAAAAGGAAAAGAAAAATCTGTGTTTAATAGTTTCATTTCATATTTGGTAGAACCACTGTAAAGGACAACACTGAGTTGCAGAGTCAGAGAGGTGTCTTCGTTCTGGAAAGTTGCTAAATAGTAGCTACAGAGCCAAAGTGTCCTCTAGGGAGAGTTGCCTTCTTATAGGAGGGTTACTAATAGGGGGTCGGTTAAAGGATGGTCTAAACCATTGGTTTACGACCGCTACGACCCGGGTTCGATTCCCGCATTGGGCACTTTTTTCTGATTAAAAAAAAAAATGCTCCAATGGCCTCCGATTCTTGCAAAAGTCCAACCCCACTAACGAATGCAAGTAACCAAACAGGGCTCTGGCACATTTGTAAGTGCAAAGTCGAACTGCTTTTCACATGTTTAGACATGTGGTGCACTTACAGTAAAAGCAGTCACCAACTTCTACCCACCATGATTATCATGGCCTGTACCACGTGGTACTAGGAATAAGCAAAAAAAAAAAGAGTTACTAATTAGTAAAAATTGGTAATTTTGATTAAGAAAACTGTCCTCTGTAAAGAAGTATCCGCTAATGAATGTCCTCTCATGGAGATTCTACTGTACCAAGAGCTTTTAGTTAGAGGAGGTTTAGAGGCAGTAGTTACCTAGGGGAGAATAGGATGGTGAGACTGGGTGTGTTGAGGGCTCTGAACACAAAACCCAAGTATGTCAGAACCAGTTACTGTGGAAACTGTAGACAGTTGTTTACCTTTAGGGGAATAGGAAAAAAATCTGAAAAGGAAACAAAAAAATCTGTGTTTAATAAGTTTCATTTCATGTATGGTAGAACCACTGTAAAAGAAAACACCTAGTTGCAAAGTCAAAGTGTCCTTTAGGGAGAGGTGTCTACTGGAAAACTGCTAAATAGTAGCTGCAAAGTCAAAGTGTCCTTTAGGGAGAGGTGTCTACTGGAAAACTGCTAAATAGTAGCTGCAAAGTCAAAGTGTCCTTTAGGGAGAGGTGTCTACTGGAAAACTGCTAAATAGTAGCTGCAAAGTCAAAGTGTCCTTTAGGGAGAGGTGTCTACTGGAAAACTGCTAAATAGTAGCTGCAAAGTCAAAGTGTCCTTTAGGGAGAGGTGTCTACTGGAAAACTGCTAAATAGTAGCTGCAAAGCCAAAGTGTCCTTTAGGGAGAGGTGTCTACTGGAAAACTGCTAAATAGTAGCTGCAAAGTCAAAGTGTCCTTTAGGGAGAGGTGTCTACTGGATATCTGCTAAATAAGTAGCTGCAAAACCAAAGTGTCCTCTAGGGAGAGTTACTAAATAGTAAAAAATGACCATTTTGGTGATGATAACTGTCCTCTGTAAAGAAGTATCTGCTAACGAGTGTCCTCCCATGGAGGTTCTACTGTACCAAGAGTTTAGATGAGGTGTAGAGGCAGTAGTTACCTAGGGGAGAATAGGAGGGTGAAACTGGGAGAGGTGAGGGCTCTGAACATAATGTCCAAGTTTAGAGAACCAGTTACTGTGGAAACTGTAGATGATTTTTTACCTTTATGGAAATAGGAGGGTGAAACTGGGGGAGGTGAGGGTTCTGAACATAATGTCCAAGTTTAGAGAACCAGTTACTGTGGAAACTGTAGACAGTTGTTTACCTTTAGGGAAATAGGAGGGTGAAACTGGGGGAGGTGAGGGTTCTGAACATAATATCCAAGTTTAGAGAACCAGTTACTGTGGAAACTGTAGACAGTTGTTTACCTTTAGGGAAATAGGAGGGTGAAACTGGGGGAGGTGAGGGTTCTGAACATAATATCCAAGTTTAGAGAACCAGTTACTGTGGAAACTGTAGACAGTTGTTTACCTTTAGGGAAATAGGAGGGTGAAACTGGGGGAGGTGAGGGTTCTGAACATAATGTCCAAGTTTAGAGAACCAGTTACTGTGGAAACTGTAGACAGTTGTTTACCTTTAGGGAAATAGGAGGGTGAAACTGGGGGAGGTGAGGGTTCTGAACATAATGTCCAAGTTTAGAGAACCAGTTACTGTGGAAACTGTAGATGATTTTTTACCTTTATGGAAATAGGAGGGTGAAACTGGGGGAGGTGAGGGTTCTGAACATAATGTCCAAGTTTAGAGAACCAGTTACTGTGGAAACTGTAGACAGTTGTTTACCTTTAGGGAAATAGGAGGGTGAAACTGGGGGAGGTGAGGGTTCTGAACATAATATCCAAGTTTAGAGAACCAGTTACTGTTGAAGCTGTATTCTGTGTAGTTTACCTCTAGGGAAATAGGAGGGTGAGACAGGGGGAGGTGAGGGCTCTGTCAACACAAAGCCCAAGTTTACAGAACCAATTACTGTTGAAGCTGTGTAGTTTACCTTTAGGGAAATAGGAGGGTGAAACTGGTGCACAAGTAGTAGGGGAGGCTGTCACAACCATCACACTCCACTGACATTGGGTACATTTTGGAACAGCTAGTCAATATCTTTTTTTTTTTTGCTTATCCCTAGTACACGTGGTACAGGCCATGATAATCATGGTGGGTAGAAGTAGGTGACTGCTTTTACTGTAAGTGCATCACATGTCTACACATGTGAAAATCAGTTTGCGACTTTGCACTTATAAATGTGCCAGAACTACGTTTGGTTACTTACACTCGCTGGTGGGGTTAGACTTTTGAAGGAATCGGAGGCCATTGGAACAATTTTTTTTTAACAGAAAAAAGTGCCCAATACGGGAATCAAACCCGGGTTGTAGCGGTCGAAAACCAACAGTTTAGACCATCCTTCCACCAACCCCTGCAATTAGGTGTTCTTTACAGGGAGGTTCTACTGTATATATTAAGCAGAAAAAGGATAATTTTTTTAAAGCTCCTCATTGCATAATATAAAATCGAAAATAAATTGCATCAATTTTTTGTAAATATGCAGATAAAAGAGAGAGAGAGAGAGGATGTACCTGGAGGGGAATAGCTGAGAGGTTTGGAGATTGCAAGTTTTGTGGCTACAACATACACACAAAACAATGTTTTATTAACACACACATAAATATAAAAATTTGTAAATAAGTTTATTCTATATTTACATACAGTAGAACCTCCCTTTAGTGGACACCCCGTTAGCAGACACCTCTCTACAAAGGACAGTTTTCATTTGCAAAATTACTATTTTTACTGATAAAGCACAATTTGGATTATAGATTATAATAAAAGAAAACAAGACCTAATCCAAATAATTTATTAGTGTGTGACGTTTCGGTGACAATGTTGTTGCCGAAACGTCACACACTAATAAATTATCTGGATTAGGTCTTGTTTTCTTTTACTATTTTTACTATTTAGTAACTCTCCGGTATGAAGACACCTCTTCCTAAAGGACACTTTGGCTCTGCAATTAGATGTTGTCCTTTACAGGGAGGTAGTTCTACTGTAAATTATGAATGAACATACAAATGTAATTAGAATTCAAACTCTATTAACCACTTCTAAGGTATAATTAGGGAGAATTTACAGATAAAAAATTACATATAAGTAAATTTATATATGTGTCATTTTGTTAACAGCACATTACATTATCAGTCCAAATTAACCCTTTAAGCGCCGAGGTAACGATCCATCGTTACCCTATAACGTCACCAGGAGCGCCGGGGTACCGATCTATCGTTACTTCCTTGTAGGGCCCCTCGTGGGGGAGGGGGTGGTGGCTGGCTATTTTTATCACCTCCCTTCTCACTTCTGGGCTTGTCTCTACACGTTAGCTGTGTTTTTATCTCCTTTGTCTTGCGATTTCCTTTTTTTATTTTTAATTTTTTA